AGACGATTCAGATAAGGTAACGCTGTTGTGGCATAAACGATTTGGACATCTCAATTTTAAGGGACTCAACACACTCGCAAATAAGCAAATGGTGATTGGTCTACCCTCTCTGAAAATTCCCAAGGCTATATGTACTATTTGTCTCGTGGGGAAACAACATAGAGATGTCATTCCAAAGCAAAGTTCATGGAGAGCATCAATGAAACTCCAATTAATTCATACTGATGTATGTGGTCCCATTTCGCCAGCTTCACACAGCAATAAAAGGTACATTCTGAGCTTTGTTGATGATTATTCTCGTAAAACTTGGATTTATTTTTTGCATGCAAAATCCGAAACGTTCAATGCCTTCAAGAGCTTCAAAGCATGTGTTGAAAAAGAAGCTGGCACCCACATTGTGTGCTTAAGAACTGACCGAGGCGACGAATTCAATTCCAAGGAGTTTTCAAACTTCTGTAATCACCACGGTATCTCTAGGCAATTGACAGCTGCCTACACTCCTCAACAAAATGGAGTTGCCGAGCGTAAGAATCGCACCATCATGAACGCAGTCAGAGCAGTGCTTCATGACAAACATGTTCCAAAATCCTTCTGGCCTGAGGCAGTGCGGTGGTGTTTTCATGTTCAAAACCGAAGTCCAACCTCTGCAGTAGATCAAGGGACTCCAGAAGAGGTGTGGAGTGGAGTGAAGCCGCGTGTTGATTACTTTCACACATTTGGATGTGTCGCACATGTTCATATTCCAGATCAAAAGAGAAGCAAACTAGATGCAAAAAGTCAACAATGTATTCTATTGGGCGTAAGTGATGAGACAAAAGCTTACAAGCTCTATGATCCTATTACAAAGAAGGTCATTGTAAGCAGAGATGTGGTGTTTGAAGAAGACAAAAGCTGGAATTGGGATGCGCACGTAGATGGAGGTGCAACCCTTGCTCTTGATTGGGGAGACAAAGATGTTGAGGAAATTGAAACTGCAGAATCTACTTCCCAACAAATAACAGTCAGCCATGATCAACCAGTAACACTCGAGCCAACTTCAGATTCAACACCCGCTGATTCTCCAATTGAAGGGAGGGCAACGAGGACCCGGAGACAACCATTATGGATGTCTGACTACGAGACCAACCTATCTGTAGAAGAGGAGAACTTACTGGCAATGATGATAACCGATTCTGAAGATCCCCAATCCTTTGAAGAAGCTTACAGGAGTCAGAACTGGAGAGAAGCAATGGATACTGAGATGAAAGCAATTGAAAAGAACAACACGTGGGAACTTGTAGATTTTCCAGACGGTGTTAAACCCATTGGCGTGAAATGGATCTTTAAAACCAAATTCAATGAACATGGCCAAATAGAGAAGTATAAAGCCAGGTTAGTGGCCAAAGGCTATGCCCAACAGTATGGAATCAACTACACAGAAGTATTTGCTCATGTGGCTAGACTTGACACAGTAAGAGTTGTGTTAGCTGTGGCAGCTCAACGTTCATGGGAAGTATTCCAACTCGATGTCAAAAGCACGTTCTTACATGGTGAACTTCAAGAAGAGGTGTACGTTCAACAACCTGCTGGATTTATCAAGAAAGGCAAAGAAAATCACGTATACAGACTCAAGAAAGCTCTCTATGGACTTAAACAGGCTCCACGAACCTGGTACAGTAAGATAGAAGCCTACTTTGCCAGAGAAAAATTTGTACGTTGCTCTAGTGAACACATATTGTTCACAAAAAAGGTTCATGATAATATTTTGATTGTTAGTCTCTATGTTGATGATCTGATTTTTACTGGAAATTGCAAAGATATATGTGAAGAGTTCAAATGCTCAATGCAGCTGGAATTCGATATGACCGATCTGGGTAAAATGAGACATTTTCTGGGAATAGAAGTAATACAGAAGGAGGCAGGAATTTTCATCTGTCAAAGACAGTATGCACGTGAGGTTCTAGCTCGGTTCAACATGACAGAGAGTAACTCTGTTCGAAATCCCATTGTACCAGGAACAACATTGTCTAAGGATGATGAAGGAGCTCCAGTAGATGCTACAAAGTTTAAACAAGCTGTTGGTAGCCTCATGTATTTGACAGTCACACGGCCAGACTTGATGTTTGGGGTAAGTCTGATCAGCAGATACATGGCTAATCCAAATGAGTCACATTGGGCTGCAACAAAACGAATTTTCAGGTATTTAAAAGGCACCATTGAGCACGGTCTTTTCTATCAAAAAGGAAAGAAAATGGGTCTCACAGTCTACAGTGATAGCAACTATGCAGGGGACTTAGATGATAGAAGAAGCACCTCCGGATCAGTATTTATGATAGGAACTGCAGCTGTATCATGGGCTTCGAAAAAGCAGCCTGTAGTTAGTTTATCTACTACTGAGGCTGAATATATTGCTGCAGCATCTTGTGCATGTCAATGCATTTGGCTTAGAAGAATTCTGGAGCATCTTGGGTTAGAAGAAAAAGAAGCCACCGAAATTTTATGTGACAACAATTCTACAATTCAACTATCCAAGAATCTTGTTCTCCATGGAAGAAGTAAGCACATCGCAGTGAGATTTCACTTTCTCAGAGATCTGGTGAATGATCAAGTAGTTCAACTGAAATACTGCAATACTAATAAACAAGTGGCTGACGTGATGACTAAAGCTGTGAAGCTCGATCAATTTGAGAAGTTCAAACACAAACTTGGTGTAGTTACTGAAATAAGCTAAAGCTTAAGGGAGGGAATGTTAGTTATTTACGTGTCAATAATGCCCCTATATTATGGGGGCTGAATGGGTCTGTTATTAGTTGCTTTATTTACTCCTATCTTAGTGCCACTTAGTGTGTAGTGTCAGTTAGTTTGTTTCTGAGAGTCTGTAAGGCTTATATAAGCCATTCTTTGCATTGAATAAAGTGTGAAAAAGAAAAGACGTTTACTTTGAGTTTACAGGGCTATAACCAGAATGAGGGGGTTGATTTTGTGGGTACATTCTCTCCCGTGGTCAAGATGACTATAGTTCAGTTGGTTCTTGCTCTTGCTTCTATATTTGGTTGGTTCTTATGCCAAATGGATGTCCATAATGCTTTTTTGCAAAGTGATCTTCTGGAAGAAGTATACATGGAAATGCTTGAGGGTTTTTGTAGTCAGGGAGAGCATATGTAAGCTACAAAAGTCTTTGTATGGACTGAAGCATGCCTCAAGACAGTGGAATTCGACGTATTCTAAGACTTTATTGGCAGTTGGTTTTACTCAAAGCAAGTATGATTATTCTCTTTTCACAATGAAGCAGGGGACTAAAATTGTTATGGTCTTGGTTTATGTACATGACCTCTTAATCATTGTAAATGATGGAAAGATGATTGAGGATCTTAAAGTAACTTTGCACAGGAGTTTCAAAATGAAAGGATTTGGGAGAATTAAAGTACTTTCTTAGTATTGAGGTTATGAGATCAAAATAGGGTATTTTGTTAAGTCAACGAAAATATGCCCTTGAACTAATAGAAGATTCAGGGATATGGGGAGCCAAACCTGTCTCGACTCCTATGGAGTAGAATAGTAGACTTACAACCACTGAATATGACAAGTTTGTGCATCAACATAATGAGGAAGAGTTGTTGGTAGATAAGTCTAAATACCAAAGGCTTATAGGAAGATTGCTATATCTCACTCATACCGGACCAGACATTGCGTTTTCAATCCAACATCTTAGTCAGTTTATGCATCAACCTCAGAAGAAAAATGAAGAAGCAGCCTTGAGAATTGTGAAGTACATCAAGAAAAATCCTGGGTTAGGAATTATGATGAAAGCTTCAAGTAGTTGTAAGTTGAATTCATGTTGTGATTCTGATTGGGCAACCTGTCTAGTGTCACGTAAATCAGTTACAGGATACTGTGTAAAGCTGGGAGATTCACTAGTTTCATGGAAATAAAAAAAACAAAATAATGTGGCAAGGTCTTGTGCTGAACCAGAATATAAGAGTATGACAATGGTGACATCTGAAATTGTTTGGTTAAGTGGAGTTTTGAAGGAGCTAGGAGTTCAAGAAGAACCAGCAAAGCTCTTAAGTGACAGTAAGGCAGCTCTTTAAATAGCAGAAAACACAGTCTTCCATGAAAGAACAAAGCACATAGAGATCAGCTGTCATTCATAAGAGAGAAGATACAAAGTGGTGCAATACAAACTCAGCATGTTGCTATCACAGAGCAAGAGGCAATATCTTAACAAAAGCATCTCAAAAAGCATAATGAACTTGACTCATGAGGACATGTCCAGGCTATTGCATTCACTGTCATGTGCCAAATATAAGATCCTAAATAAAGACCCGAGCTCAAAAAGCATCTCCCCTTTGAGTTCAACCCCAACTTCACCGACAAGTTGAGGAGGATTAAGGTGTTTTGCAACCCTCTTTTAGAACATTTGTATCTGTTGGGATCGGGAAGTTCTTAATATTTGTAAAACTAAAAAACCAACTTGTGAATTATTATACAATGCAGGTTCCTCTACCAACAGTGGATGATAGGAAGAAAGTTATTGAAGATGTCGATAAAGAACGGCGTTATGCAATCGATACCGCAGTCGTGCGCATAATGAAGAGTAGGAAAGTTTTGTCCTACCAACAATTAATTTCCGAGACTGTCCAGCAGTTGAGTCGATTGTTCAAGGTATTGTTATTAGATAGATGAACAAGTATTTGAAGCATCATATCTTCGTATTAATGTCTGGATAAAGATATATATATATTTGTATTTGACATTCGTGTTCGAGTTGGAATGATTTTGTTATTACTAGTTAGATATATTGGTTGGAAATTGTAGCCTGATATTAAAGCCATCAAGAAGCGAATAGAAGATCTGATCACACGAGACTATATGGAGAGAGACCCTGAGGAGCCAAACATGTTTAGGTACTTGGCCTAAAAATTGCTCTTTTGCTTCGTAAATGGGAATAACGTATTAATGATTATATGTTTCATTACCACCAAAGATTATAAAATGACTTACCACACATACATAATAACAACAACACTGAAGCAACTTATTCTTTAACACATTATTTGCCCCCAGATTTGGTATAGGCTATAGCTACTAGGTTGCTTGCTCATTTTCATAATATATAGTTTATACATTACTTTTAATGGCAGCACTATAACCATTGACCCTATCATAGTATCTGTTCCAAAGCATAACACCTCCATACTTGGGTGATTTCTTGATCTTCGAAAGTATTTCAGAGTTCAACACACCAGGTGGAATGTAACCACTTCCGGCAGCTGCCTTAGCCGCCGGTAACCCTAAAAACAACTTCTTTATGGCCTTAATACTAGCCCACCGCCTCCACGAAGCTAGAATCTTGCTTGTGTTACCTGGACTGTATTGGCAAGGTGGATTGTTGTAAAACTGAACCCACACATAATCGAAAAGTCCAGTACTAAGTGCCGCTCCCAAGAATCTATCAGGGATCGGACACTGAGGAGCAGCCGACAGGTAAACTTTCTTACCAGGCTTACTATATGCAGCCAAGTAACGTGCGAGATCAGCCCAGTGTTTGGTCGAGCCGAGCTCTATATCAAAGTCTATACCGTTCAGCACGGCGCTTCCTAATGGCCGGGAAGGTGATTTTCCACCCAAGAAGTTGTTGTATAAGTAAGCGGCTACCCGCTTGGCGTCGGCTTTAGAAGACAGAGAGTAGTGGCCGATGCCGCCGCCGATTGAAAGCATTACCTTGATGCCTTTCCTTTGGCAGTTTTTTATGGCGGAACTTGCGACCCTGCAACCACCGTTTGCAGGGTTGCAATGGCCTGCAAGATTCAGCACCGGGGCTCGCCCGCTACCGAACTTGTTAAGGAAGGCTATGTTGACGTATTTGTAGAGTCCGGTGTTACAGGTTTGGTTTAAGGTGGTCTCGGAGCCGCTTTGACCCCAATAGATCGCGATCCCTCCGCCGTGGGAGACCTGGATCAGGGCTAGGACTAGGACGGAGACGAGAACTTGTGTGTTCGTGGACATTGTTGTGTTGTTTGAAACTGTGGTTTGATAACGGCGATGCAAAAGGTGGCTTATATAGAGTCGAAGGAGAGCCCAAGCAAGACGTAATCGCATTAAAATATGAGCGAAGACCCATTTTTGGCGGTTCACTGTCACTGCCCTTTTATCTTTTCAATTTGATATTCCATTTGTTTATGTTGACAGATAAACTCGAAAGACTTCAATCTCAAGTTAATATTTTTCTTCCTTACAGTTCTTTAAACCAGAGGCCGGTTTATGTGGCTCATGAGCCCTCCAATTTTGAAAAAAATATTATTATTCTCTTAAATTTTTTAAAAGTTTTTATTTAGTTTTTTTCAAACATTTGAAAATTTATTATATTTCTTAAATTTTAAAAATATCATTAATTCTCAAAATATAAATTTTATATCTATAATTTAATAAAAAAATTGTTAGAGTAACTGTTACAGTTATTTGATTATTCAATTCAGCTCTTTCCGGTAACTTTGCTAGTTAGGTTATCAAGCTTATATAAGCTATTTACTCGTATTCCTTTGAATCAATAAAAATTTTCACTTTCTTCGTTGTTCTTTCACTGTTATATGGTAATAGATCTCATCCCATACTATTCTCAACCGAGTACAGTATACATTCACTGTCGGCTGACCTTGCACCATATCATTTAATCGTTTCGTCAATTCAAATAACCTTTGACCATTAGATAGTTGATGTTCCTCAACAAAATAACCTTCAAATATGCAACTCTTTACCTTTTCTTCCGTCGTAAAGAAGGGCCACCTGTCAATTAATGAAAGAATGACTTGTACAGTGAATCTGTGTACGCTCATTTTATATATTTGTTATAGATATAGGCTATTCAAATAAATTAATTAAGAGAGAAAAATACGACAATTTTTTTTTATCGATGCCTTTATACACCATGCTTAATGGGTTGGCAATTTGTTGCCTCAAAAACACGATATTAAACATGTGGTATATAAAAAATTTAGGTCAAAGTATGTTCCTCAGTTAAAGGCAGTGGTGGATTTAAAAATGTAAAAATATGATCTAAAATTTTAATTTTTTTCTTAAAAATAATGGGTATGCAAAAATTATAATTTTTTCTCTTTTTCTTAACACATTAAATTAAATTTAATCATTTCTTCAAAATAATGTGATGTATTTGGCCCTTATCGGAGCGCAGTACATCCACCACTGGTTCAGGGACAGGGTATATTTAAGATTTAATTGAGATTTACATAGAAATTTATAAATTGCCACCAAGAGTGACGATGGTAAAATTCAAATTTTACCTTACAAACTCAAATTTTTGAATTACAATTACTTATATCAACCCTAGTTAGTATATATATATATATATTGAGAGATGACTTTTTCCATTTTAATAATTTAAAAAACGAGATGAATCAAATCCATTTGAATTCAATACTTTTTGTCGTCGGATAATGTGTTAAGCTCGTATTCATCGAAACTCTTAAGTTTGCCTTTGAGTTGTTTGTTTTTAATTATGAGTTGACCTATAATTATTTTTTTTTAATATCAACGCCTTTTCAAAAACGTATTGATATTTATAAAAATATATAATATTTTATTTAATTAATAATTTATATACTTTTATGATAATAATTTAAATTTTATTACATTATGTTCTTTTACTATTTGTTAGTCACGATATATTTTTATTTGTGTAATAAATTTTTTGTTAATATATTATAAAGTGTTTATCTCAATATTATTAATCAATTATAAATGTTATCATTACGCTAATAATTTATATTTATTTAGCTTTAAATTTTTTATAAAAACCCTTGACTTTATTAAAAATAGAAAATCTAAATTATAACGAAGGTTTCAACCATAATCGTAAACTAAACATATGAAGAAAAAAAATTAAATACGAGAAAACTACCCACTTAAGATCACAAAAACAATACAAGGAAAAGGTTAAAAAACTAAACCAAATAAACTCGGATAAAATGTAGATACGAACAGATCTGGTCGTATCGACAAATGAACCACAAAAGAGAATGAAACTACTGAAAGACCACCGACAAATCGTAAATCAAAATTGAATGACGTGAAAATATTATCCACGAACATAAATCATGTATCTAAGTCCAATTCAATGGTCAAAAGCATGAAAGTTCACAATGAAAACAAACAAAACATCATCTTAATCGATCGTGACGATGTCAAATCTAATCCTAAAAATAATAGTCAAACAACAGAAAATATTTCATAAAAACAGAAAAAAAATGTGTCATAAAGATAAAAGAAGACATATCATAAAAGCAGAACTATTAAAAATAAAAATAAAGATATACAATAACAAAGAAAAGAAAAAATAATAAATATCGACGATTAGCAATTAACTTCAAGGTTGATGTCATCGTCAATCACAAAATTAAAGGGAAAAAAAAAGCTTAACTGAGACAAAGAAAAGAAGAGAGAATTTATTTTTAACTTTATTTATTTGTTATTAGTAACTTACTGTATTTTTATCATTAATTTTATTTAATAAAATTTTCAAGATAGTTAATTATAAGTTAATAATTTTGAAATTTTGATTTAAAATCACGCAACTGAAAAGATAAAATATTATCTATCATATTATAAAGCTTAAAGTATAATTATACTTGGTTGTTATAAAATATATGGTATGTAATCAATAATCGATTCCTATTCAAAATATATAATTGATTCATGCGTAATTATAGCATTTTGAATTTTGATTTAGTCGGCGGCGGTTCTAATTTTACATTAATGGTCCATCGTCAGTGTTAATCATTATTTTTTTTTATCTTCTGTTAGTTTGTTGCTTTTATTCAATTTTTTTTCTAATTTTTAATAAAAATCATTTTTATTTGGTTTCTTACTTTATGTATATTTTGCGCATGTTTGTATGTTTTTTTTTTTGGCATGTTTTAACTCTGTTCTTTTCGCACGTTTTATTTTTCTCTTATAACATGTTATTTTCCTACTTTTGTGGTAGATGTATGATTTTGTATAGATACTCACGTCGCTTGTATTTAATTTGTGATTGTCAGTAGTCTTTTAGTGATTAGATATTCTTTTGTGGTGATTCGCTGATGTACTTAGATCTAGTTTGCAAAGCAACATGTAAGTTTACTTTGATTTTTTCGTCACTCTTTCATTATCTCTAAAACATCTAGTTGGATGGAGACAAATGAATATTATTGACGATTAGGGAGTTATTATAGATAATGGACATCATATTCACAAGAAAGTTTCAACTAATATTGTGCTTTTGAGTTTTCTTTTCATTTTATTTTATGTTTGATTTTTTTTGATAGACTTAGTGTAACACACTTAACCCGTATTCCTACCCGAATACAAGTTAAGGGTGTCACACTATTTCTATATAAATGGTTGTCCCTTTTTCCCATATATATAGGGTAAGTGAGAGGTAAGATAGTAAGTTACCCCCAATACCAGGTTGAGAGCAGCTTCCGTAGAGACCTCCGAATTATGAAATGCCCTCTGTGAGACTCGATCCCACGACCTCAAGGTTAAGAACCTTGTGCTCTACCAACTGAGCTGGATGGTCAAATTTTCAATATTTAACATTTATTATTATATTGTTTAATCAAATAAATTCATAATAAAATATTTAATTTCCAATTCACATTCGGTTTCCTGTAGTGATTAAGCAGATCTATATTATTTCATATCACAATTAAAACCGCCTAATTTAAATATCAACTGATTATTTTTTATAACATGATTTATTACTACTCATACGTAACCACTTACCATATTTTCTTCTTTCTTTATTACATTTTCTCATATTATATTACTGTACGATTTAGCACATTTTTATCATATACTTTTATATCACCATATATATATATAATATTTTTAATACATATAATTAAATTTATTGAAACATCTCCTTTATAGTTATTGTATACCGCCACACATCTACCAATTATTACTATAATGATACAACTATTACTATAATGTTCACATTACATACATATACTTATTATTAATATTTCATTCTAAACCAATATAAATCATTCAGTATAAATTAGACTTTGCATATAAAATTTTACTATAGTACACTAATTAAATTTGTATTGTTCCTTTTTTTCATACTATCTATTTTCTTGTATTGTTCCTTTCACTATAATGTATCTTTTAATTTACTATATCTTTTACTATATTGTATCTTTTAGTTTCATTTTATAGCCCAATGTATAACTATGAGAATACATGGTACTCAAGTTAGTCATGAGTATTCAGTACGGTATGTAATTGTATGACACATTAGTGTCTTGTATGTAGCATAACTGTCAGTAACGGTATATCACATTTAGTGTCCGATATACAGTATAAACTTTCAGTAACAGTATGACACATTCAGTGCCCAACATGCAATATAAACTGTCAATAACAACAAAGCACATTCAATGCCCAATATAAGTGAGCGTACAGGTACTGTAGAACACAACATTATTGTACTAGTAATCAGATATGGTACCTCACAACGTCAAAACATCATAAGACCCATAATACAAATATAGTGTCAATATCAATAATCAGTAATCATTTTATCTCGCATACCATTGTTTCTCAAGTCTTATACACTAGACTTTTATTTAAATCTTATATTCATTTTCATATAAAACATTTATAGGAAAATTATCAAATTCATATACTATTTTAATCATATATTAATATTTCAACTAAATTCTAATTTGATCATCACATTCCTCTAATAATCATTTATTACCATAATTCACTTAAACTTCACACATCATCTTATACTCAGTTTCTATTTTAACCCTTAATTTTTCCACATTTACAGTTTTGCTTTTTAACTTATACTAATTTCTAAATTAGTCCCCATTTAATATTTTAACTTTAGAATTATCATTCTACTATTTACTGCTCAAGTACTTTAAAACTTATATTTACTCAGTAACTTAACATTCCAACATGAAATCAACATTTTAATATTCAATTCCAATATGTTGCTTAAAATTCTAAAGAATTACATAATTGCCAGTTAAATTTCCATATTTTTTTCATTATTACGATTTATCCCTTATACTCTTACAATCTTCTAAATTCGATTCCAAATTCATAATCTAACCATAGGATAAATTTTGCTAGAATTCATCTCAACTTTTCTATTTTATTCAATATGGTCCTTTTTATCATTTAATCCCAAATTCAAGCATCACAAGACAAATTCAAACATTCCAACAATGTATTCAAATTCTACTCATAAACTTTATACCAAATTCCATTTCAAACCCACAAATTATATAAATTTTCAATTTAATCCTCAATCTTAATAATCTTACAAGTTAACTTTAATTCAAGCTTCAATTAACATAACCAAAAATTCAAGTATTTAATTCAAACATAATATCTCAATAATTACACATTTTCACTTAAGTCTTTATCTCTTCCATATTTATGATTTGGTCCTCAAACTTTATCAACTTTTCAAATTAGTCCAATTTCACATTCTAACATCAAATTAAACATTTTAATAATAAGTTCCAGCATAATACAACATCTATTAAACAATTGTACAATTAATTCCTATATTTCTTAATTTATACGAATAGGTCCCTATACTTTTATAATTTTCCTAATTATTCCAAATCTGTAACACCCCAATTTTCAATTATTTTTAATTTAAAATTTATTTAGTTAATTTTGGGACCAATTTATAATATTCTAGAAATTCTAAGATAGTTTTTGAAATCCCTGAAAGGATAAGGACTCACTCCTAAATTAGACCATTATTGGTCAACAAAAAAAGAAAACCGATGGTCGATGGGTTTAAACCCAGGCCATAGGGAGTCATGCCCTAACCACTAAGCTAGGGCACTGTTTATGTTATAAATAATCAACAAATAAGATTTGAACCAATCGGTTGGGATATTAAATCCCCTAAAAATCGAAAGCCAAAAAAAAATTTCAAACTTTGAAGCCTTTATCCGTCACCATCCACCGCTGTCGTTCGTCGTCTTTGGTTTTCGTGAAGTACACCGTTGAATACTTTATTGTTTTATAACTCTTTACATTAATTCCGAATCTAAATCTGAATTCTATAAAGAATCTATTCTTAAATATGAACTATTTCTATATAGAATAAAATTTATTTTTGGAAAAATTATGTCTTTGGTCCTTGAACTTTTTAAGTTTCTATTTTGACCATTAAACTTTTAAATATTACATTTTAGTCACTAATCATATTTTTTGGTATTACATAACATATTTATTTTAAGGATTGCGACTATATGGTTATTGGAGCCATGCTTTTGAAATCAAATTCATTGGCTTTTTTTTCCATTCAAAAAGCAAAAGAATTTCCTTTAGCAAATATTTCTTCTTCTTGTTCTTTTTAAGATAAACACATATAAGCTATTTAACACATTCAAAACAACAATATCCGAGATACAAGTTGAAAATTTTAACGGTGAAAACAAAAACATGCCCAATGAGTTAAAGAATGAGCAGCAACATTTGCATCTCGACGAGTGAAGATGACTTTAAACCATGGATGAACAGCTAGATGCTAATGCCTGCGAGCTTCCAAAAGGTGAAGGACAACGATGGAGAGATGGGGGTTGGCCAGCTTACAGACTATCGATTGCGCATCTCCCTCGATAAGAACATTAGTCCACCCATTTTCAGCAGTAAGCGAGAAACCCTTCAAAAAGGCCCTAGCTTCCACAAGTTCAGCTTAGGAGAGATCAGTCAGACGACGAGATACCCAATTTTAGCAAACATTTCGTGAAATCATTACAACAGAGTACCTTTTATTAAAAAAATAATAATTATACGATAATATATATTTAGAATGTTTCTTAATTATATATATATATATACCCTTCAAGTAATACTATTTAAAATTTCTAAAAAAAATAACATTCTCTTTTATTTTCCTCCCCATAACCATGTTTTAATCTTAAGCTGATAAGCCGTAAGCGGATATAGAACATCATAATCCCTCGGATTTCACCTTCCCTTGATACACACTCAACAATTCAGGCACTTCCTCATGATATCTGCTCACAAACCTCTCCAAGAACCGTTCCTCCACCGGCAGCAGCACCGTCGTTAAGCTGGAATCTTCTTTTATCAATCCCTTGGTCAACAGAATCTGGAAAACAGAACACCTGGGGATTATTCTCTTCTCCAAGCTGAAGAACAAGACCACAGGGCATTCAGCTATGGCTCTGGATGGCCACCCCATTTCATTCACAAAATAATCCATACTCTTCATGATTTTCTTCTCCGACAACATCATGGAGTGAGGCTGTTTCCTAAACGCCGAGAGGATATCATCTTTAGACCAACCCCATCGCTTGTAAACCTCGAAACACTTGTCCCATATCGACTTGTTTCCTTTCCCGGAAAGGGCGTGAATCGCCAACACGAACGTGGATTTCTTCGGCTCGAATCCCATTTCTTTAACCTCTCTCACGGTTTCACAAAAGGATTCTTGTTTTTGCATCACGGCTTCGGGGAAATGGGTTAATAAAAGGGAGACACAATTCTGGGGCACGCCTGATTCTTTCAAATAAGCCACGTTGGGGATAAGACTCTTCGAGGGATTTACAAGGAAGATCCATGTACTGCGTTTCATGGAAGCAACGATTTTCTCATCGGAGAGCAAAACACTCTTGAGAAACTCGTAAGTGGGGATGATTTTATTCTCTAAGCTTCGAGTTAAAAGGGTTGTTTCCGATGAAAGAGTCCTCGCAAGTTCACTGCTTGACAACCCGATAGACCGGAAAAACTCGAGCTTTGGAATAAGGATGTTATGGGGATGGGATAAAAGAAGCTTTGGGCGTTTCCTGATGAGATTTGAGATCTGGGTTTTTGAGAACCCGTAGTTTCTCAAAAGAGCTAAGACCAAATCTGGTCTCTCGGGGGACTGGAACTGTATCTTCTCGGAAACTGCAATGGCGGACTCTAAGGAAAGGCTGCACGAGTTTACAAGGTAAGTGACGACGAAAGGGCGTTGCTCGGCAAGGGTGCCTTTGAGTTGAGCTGGTTTCCACGGTGCACGAGAGATTGATAGATAGTCCAGCCTTAGGGTTTGGAAGTTTTGGTTTACTGCCATTGTTGAAGATTTTGAGTGGATAAAGAAAATGGTTAGTTTCTTTCGGAGATTAAAGAAAATAGCCATTGTGGAAAATCACTTCCACTTCGCAGTGGGCTTGACTTTTGGACAATGAGATGCCTGTTTATTGAGAAATCACCGTTGATGGTTAAAAACCTGAATCAGAAACCAAACAAAGAGAAGAACTGCGAACAAAGAGAAAGCAATTAGAAATGACGGCGGCGGCGGCGGAAGAGTTTTAGGGTTGTAACCAAAATTATTTTGGGCCAGTCTCAGAAAACTGATCTAATCAACCTCAACAACCCAAACTAACATTTAGGGTCGTATGTTTAACGAAAAACAAATTTCAGTTTGTTTCAAGAAAAATAGATTTTGAAAAATAAATTGTATTTTCTAAAAAATATTTTTTTAGAAATTATTTTTGATATTTGAATGATATTGTGTAATTTATTTTTCAGTGATTGATAAATGTTTTAAAAATTATTTATTATAAACATCAAATGTAATAAATAATATTATTTATTAACAAAATAAAAATATTATTTTTCAAATATTAGAATAATTTATCTAATATTATTATTAAAATATTATATCTAAAATTTTAAATAAAAATATTAATATTATTATATTTTATTAAGATAAAAATATTATAATTATATTAAATAGTTATTAAAAATAATAATATATTAATTTCTTATTGAAATATTATTATTATTAAACTATTAAAACTTATAATATTAAAATAAAAATATTATATTACATTTTAAATATTTAACAATTTAATGATATTATTTTTATGAAATTAATAAATAATATTAGTTTTATTAATAATTTATTATATATATTAAAATAAAAATATATTATATTATAAAATTATCAATAAATATAATTTAATAATAATATTTTATTAAAATGATACAAAATAATATGTTAATATTAAATATATAAAATAATAATGTTTTGAGTGTTTATGCTTTGAAGTAAAATGTTCGTAAGATGATTTACGAAAAATCAAACTGTAATCATTTTCTTAAAAATACAAAGAAATTTCAATTGACCAGAAAATTGAATTACATTGATCATCTATTTTCCGTCAACCAAACCCTTAATTATTAAACACATCTGATGTCTTAAATCTTGAAATTTTAATTCCAATTATGTCAGTAGTTGGTGGGTTTGTGAAGATGACTTTCAGTGGCCTTGAAATTGAACATCTAGGGTGCGTTTGGTTCACGGAATGTAAAATTATCAGTGGGAATAAAAGAGTATCATGGTATAGGATTACTGGAAATGTTGTATTTTGTGTTTAGTTGGTTTAGCAAGAATGTAAGATTACCGTGTTTGATTAAAGGAATAAAAAGATTATTAGAATGTATATTTGACCAAATTATCCTTATTATATATTTGTTTTTTTAACAAGTTGGAAAATATTTATATATTTTCTTTAAAAAAAATTAAATTCATAAAATTTATATAATTTTTTTTTACAAAATTGAAAATATAAAAAGATTTAATGAAATGGTAAAATTTTATTTTAACCCCTGAACTTCATATAAAATTTTAATTATAGATTTTTTTTATAAATCTAAAATAGTTTAAGGATAAATTTATAATTTAACCTTCGTAGAATTTTTATTATTCAATGACAGAATAAAGATATTTTTGAAAGAAAATTTTTTAAGGACATTTTAGTCCAAAACACCGATAATCTAACAATACCTAAGGAAATGGAGGTAATGACATTCCCGGTAATATACCCAAAAAAATCCACTATTAGTAATGTAAGATTACCGAGAATTACATTCCCGGCCAACCAAAGCGGGGGAATGTAGATTACATTCTCATGGGAATCTCACATTCCCCTAACCAAACACACCCCTAGTATTCATCGAAAAGGTCAAAGGTCACTGGTAAGTGGTGTAACTGGTAATGGTAGTACACAGAACTGTATTGTGTAATTTCTTTAAAAAAAAAACCCAAGATTGTCAAGTTTTAAGATAATTTGCAAAAGAAAATTTTAGTACACAGAGTTTTTTGCACACAAAATATGAAAGAAAGAAAGCAATATCACCAATAAACCCATTTATACACCATACATTGCATTTTAAGAATATTAAGTTGCCTTTGTATTTGAACAATTTCCACGGCCACCCAAGTGAAAAGCATTGTCATGATGATGGGGCTGGGAGTGCAAGCGACGGTGCTTTCTTGATTTGTTGAACGAGTAATTTCTTTAAACTTCTTCAAAGTTTACTCCATGCTCGCCTGACATCACATACACTCCGACCAAATAACAGTGTTACCGTTTAGCCAGCAGTTGTAACCACAGACTCGGCAAGCTCTTCCAGGAGCTCCTGCTGTTCCATTGATGCACAAGCCTGTAAGATGCAAGATTTTGCATTACAATTTTGACCATATTCTTGTATGGAACCCTAATCGATATTTTTCTAGTTCAATATCGAGATAGATACATGTTCATGCAAAATATTGGGAAGAGAAAGAGAGAGGGGCAATGAAAGCAGAAATAGAGGTATAAATAGTACCTGAACTGCATTCTCGATATCACCTTCAAGAAAAGATGTAAGCTCGTAGTTCGTCTTTAGCCGGTGGTCGGTAACCCTATTGTCCTGATAACAGGTAGCAACATGATACTTGTCAGACTCCACAAGTGACTTGCAGTCAACCATAAGCCATTGGAGCTTCTAACAAAGGCAACATAAGCAACCAGTAGTTCCATAAACAAAATATATATTCAGCATATCTAATCTCTTAGAAGTTGTGTGAATTTTTTCTAAATATTCTTGTATGGTTTTTATAAGCGGAAGAATAATCATGTAACTAAAAGCAACTTCGAAGAAGCTGGGGACCTTATAATTGTAGGTTCGAATCTTTTCAGCACGAGCACCAGTACCAACCTGCATATCAAGACACGTGTGACACAAACATAAGGCTTTTAAAATCCAGGCCCAAATGTTTAATATCAAAAGGAAACAATCACAGAAGAGGAAATTCCATTTAGAAGAAAGCAAATACACAACCGGAATCAGCATATTTTCTTGCCAAACTGTCACTACAAATACACTGACATTAGGAGAGAATATTGAACAACAAACAAGAAAGAAGGCAAAACAACGACCTGAAAAGGATGTCACTTCATCATATAAGAGTGCAACTGAGCATGATACATGGAAGACTTGCAAAAGGTTCTCATAGATTCTCTTAGCAATTATTGTAATGCTTAGTTAATGTTAGTGTGTTAGCTGCTGTTAACAACTCAAGTTTAATAATGATGATGATGATCACCCCAAATTACCAGACTGCCATTGGACACACCTAGATAGTTATTAATTTGTACTTAAATTGGAGGTATGGGAGTGGAATGGGGGTGCTTGAAGCTGGACATGAAAAGTCATTGTCATGAAACCCCATGAAACTGCCACTCGTGTAACAAGCATACCAATGTTATACCTGTGATTTTCGTTCATTCCTTATCAACTCTTGCTGCTCTCTTACTTTTATTTCATACCTGTAAGGATGAAAGAGATCATAAGGAATAGACCAAAATGGAAGATATAAGCTATTTTTGAGAAAATATGAAAGCAAGGATACTGATTACTTATCTCAGATAATAATTTCTAATTACTGATTAAAATAAATAGCATTGTAAAACAACAAAAACAGAGACCACAAAAGCAGTATATGGTTAAGTTGTGCCTCACAGTTTTGCTCGTAGCAGCTGCAAAGCACGATTCTTGTTCTGATGTTGGTCCTTTCTTCGGTACAGAATATACGGATCCCAGTTGGCTTGTGGAAGAGATCAACTGCTGTCTCCACCTTGTTGACATTCTGGCCTGCACAATAATGAAGCATAACGAACCTCTCAAAAAAAAAAAAAGGAGGAATGGGAAATTACACATGACGAACTGCCGATTCATTTGATCATTGTTCAATTCATATTCTATGCAGCTATACCTCCAGCACCACCAGATCTTGCAGTTGTGAGTTCAATGTCTTTTGGATCAATTTCCACTTCAACTTCATCGGCCTATGCCAAAATTCATGTCAATCACAAATTAACTCAAATGAAAAATAATAAAAAAGGAGCTTACAATCATATATGTGGAATGCAGCAGATAAAATGCAATCTAATGTTTTGTTAAACAAAGGCTTATAATAAGCATTTAAAAGGCTAAAATAATTGATATTAATTCCAAGGCTCAAAACACAATTGAAAATTGAGATGACATCTTTCACACCAAGATGTCTCAAGTCAAATATGATTCAGGTCTGTAATGTAATCTACCTCAGGCATGATGGCTACAGTTGCTGTAGAAGTGTGCACACGGCCCTGTGTTTCTGTTTGAGGAACACGTTGAACCCTATGAACACCTGATTCATATTTCAATTTGCTGTAGACACGACTCCCCTTAACCTCTATCACGCAAGTTTTGAATCCTCCTTTTCCAGCCTTAAAAGTTCCAGAAATTTGACAGTCATATCAAGAACAATGGCATGGAGATTTTGATGCTCTTGAAAAACAGAAAGAACGATGCTAGAAATACTTGTACACAATTTTAACTAAAACTTCCTGGCAATAAGTACTAAAAGTCTTTAACCATCAGCTATGGTTGGTTGGATATAATGAGTTTGGCACCCCACATATTTTAGCAAGATTCTAAAAGAAGGTACAATTAATATTACTGCAGTAAGATATACCTCAGAGCATGAAATTAGGGCAGATTTCCAAGAGTTCCGCTCACTGTAATTTTGATACATTCTGACCTGGATGTTTTTAAAAAAGCAAGGTCAGCTAATCTCTAGTTAACATATAGCAGAAAAAAATATAGGTCAAAACAAGAATCAAAATGTATCATTTGCCTAGTTCCATTAAGCTGGTGACACAGGAAATAAGTAGAAGTAGAAATTAAACGGTTTCCTGATTCGATCCCAGCATTATTTAAAAATATTTCTGTTCTACTTCTATGTCATCAAGGTAATAGCTTCTTTTAGATCGCCTTAAAATATTCAATGATTAAAAATGATTACAAACCATAAATCTAAAAGGATAAAAGAAACATGTACCTACAAGATCACCAGCCCATATTCCAGCCTCATCACCACCAGTACCTGCCCTCACTGGAATATTGACAAGCATAGTTCATTAAAGTGTGACTGTGAAGGAAAATTTCATTAGATGATGCAGCTAAAACTATCGTCCATATCACATGGAAAGTACAACTTGTATGAAGACCAATGCTAAGTATATAGAAATATCCAACCAAGAGGAATGATTTCTAACATGGACCATTGCTCGAACTGCAGCACAATGCAAATTATAGCAAAGTACAGCCTGAATCCTGTCTGACCTAGGAATTCCGTCAATGAATTATCTTCTCAACAAGATTAGGAAAGGTGATATAATTACCTTCAAGCATTATATTTCTTGCATCAAGAGGATCACTTGGAATCAGCAGCAACTGTTGACATAGAAGCAATATAGTAGTTTGAGAGATCACAAACAATAATTGGACATATTCCACTATAAGGCTCAATATTGATTAATTCTCATCAAAGAACAATGTTATATAAAATATGCAGTCAGTATCAATCTCATTCCAAATTGTTGGAACATTTTAAATGGAACTCTTTTGTAGCGCAAAGAAAAGTGATCATAACTTCTATCTCGCACTTGACTAAGTAGACAATAGACACAAGTTATTCTTCACTCAGACAGTAGCTCCTAGATATGGAAAAAAATTATAGTGGTAGTGAGATATGACGTGAGATGTTGAGTGAAAACCTTAAGCTTCTCCTCAAGCTCTTTCAGTTGACCAGATAAAGAGCTGATTTCGGATGCTATCATATCAGCCATCTTCATCAGTTCCATCCTCTTCTGATAAAGCTGGAAAAATTATTGCAAAAGCATGAAAAAAGATTGACTAGCTTTTATCTTATGGTAAAAACAACTTCAAAAAAATCTTATAGAAAAAACATTTTAAATAAGATCGTCAAAATTACCTTTGGCCTCCTCTAATTGCTTCTCACAATCCTTAAATCTCCTGAAAGTTGATACAACCTATCCATCAAGAAAATAGAACATGAAATTCATGTCCATGGAAACTTTATTAGCAATGAAAGAGATTAATTGCTGTAACCACAAAAGAAAGCAAGACGAAATCCAGTACCTCGTCAAGTTCTGAAACAGATTGCGCCAGTTTTTGGTATTCAGAGGGATTGGAGACCACATTTGGATCAGCAAGCCTAACCTACAGTGTCATTGTTTGGACAAACAGCAAAATAAACAATTGAATTTAGAGACTATCAATGGCATAGAGATACAGTTGGTGCCGAAAACGACAAATTGCCTAAAGTGAAAGTGGCAGTTAAGCTACCAAATGCAGTAAAAGATAAACCTTCTAGTTTAGCCAACAATGACTGAAAAATTTTTCATTTATGAAAATGCATGGTTTGGCCAACTTGGATTTCACTTTCTCCGCAAAGTGTCTCTCTCTAATACTGGATGAACCTAGCTGACTAACTTTCTCATACCAAATTTTATTCTCTGCAGAGCAAACCTACAGAAACCATGCCTAGTTTTGATTCCCAAAACTAAAGAATCATCAGGCCGACCAATTTGACTAACACACAACTAAAACACTCTCATTTCCCAAATAATCGAAACTTATTTAACAATACAAAATAAGAGAAATTAAGAACTCTACCGATAATTCCTTCCACGTCTTCTCCGCAGATTCCAGTTTCGTTATCAGATACGGCTCCTGCAAAAAAAACGAAATCAACAAAAGTTTATCTTTAGCGAAATATGAGTTCTGCTTTCCTCAATTTAAAACGACGAAGTTTGTTTTGTCAAACGCACCGCCATACAAACGATTCTGGAAGCTCTGAGTGTAGGACAAGGTCTGGCTAGCCTCAAACATCTCGACTTAGGAGTAAAATGGCGTAGAACTGGGAAGTGATTGAAAGTAGTAGTGAATATTAGAGCTGTAGAGCTCATTGCAACGCAGTTAATGGCTGCTAATGTATCTTTTGGAGATAAATTCGATGTTTGAATAACTATGGTTGTGGCGGAGGAGAACGAGAGATTGAAGGGAGTGGCCGTGGGGACAAGGAAAAGACACGGTGCCTTCAGCTAAAACTCCTCCAAAACCCCAACTGATAAGGTTGTGTTTTTAGCCAACATACATGATATATCGTACAAATTCGAGCTAATTCCACTTAAACTTAAAAATTAATTTATTAATTTGATTTTAATTTAAAATTTTTTACGTTAAATTCAGTTTATGAAATTAAAATTCAAAGTGAATTCGAGTGGAGTGAAAAAATGATAAACTACATGTTTGATAAATTTTATTTTGAAAATTTAGTACTTAAATTATTAATTTTTATCAATTTTAATACCTAAATTTTTAATTTTTTTTAAAACCACACCTAACATTTACTTTTTTATTTCGTTTTACTACCTCATCATTAAAAACTTTGCACATGATACTTTTTATGGGTAAATTGAATCATCATCACTCTATCATTTTCTCACTTCTATTTTGGTCACTAAAGTTAATTTTTTAATTTAATTACTTAACTTTCAAATAACTTCTAATTTAATCACTCTAATTTTCAAATTTATTTTTTATTTTTTATTATATATTAATAAAATAATAATAATAAATTTCATGTCATAAAAATTGTTAATAAAATAAATTAGAGTGATTAAAATAGGAGCAATTTGAAAGTTTAGTAGTTAAATTGAAAATTTTTAAATTTTAATACCAAAATAAGAGTGCGAAGATAGTTAATGCATGAATGATGTAATTTACTCATAAAAATCAGTGCCGTTAAATTTTTAACGACGAAATACTAAAATGAAACAAAAACTAAACGTTAGATATGATTTTTTTTTTAAAAATAAAAGTCTAAATACTAAAACGGGTTTTTAGATATTAAACGCTTAATTTACTCTTATTTTATTCACTTTTTATCGTTAAAACTAAAAATATTATGTGTCAATTGTTTATATTATTAATTTGTTTTAACTTAGTTAGTAATTCGTTAATTCTCTTTATTTTGACGGTTGATGCATTAAAAATAGTTAGTTTTTAATTGGTTTATATTATTAATTTGATTAAAAATTGAACTTAACAAATACAATCCAAAAAACAATGTAAAGAATTACATGATAAATGACTCAGTAGGCTTAACTTCAGGCACACTTTCCCTCTCATATTTTAGAGACTTCTTTTCTTGCAAAATTATTTTATGAATCTTCCTCACCACGTTATCTATTACCCATTTAGTAAAATTAACTTCCAAGTAATCATCGATTGTCATATTCATATGAAAAAAATGTGAAGAATTATCCTTGAAAGAAATGACATGGAGAGAAAAAAAAAGGTGAGATGGATAATTTTTTAGTGGTTGGAACCATAAATGATGTAGTGAGGATGATTCATGACTGTATTTTTATAATGGCAACAACTGATAGATATACTCGATTTCGGGACCCCTATTTTTATGCTTCTTAATTGTAACAACTGATAGATATACTCGATTTCGGGGCCCCTATTTTTATGCTTCTTAATTGTAACAACTGATAGATATACGACCCTATTTTTATGCTTATTAATGACAACAACTGATAAATATATTCGATTTCAAAACCCCTATTTTTTGGTCATGTTGCGACCCTCAGCCACGCCCCTGGTGGACCATATGCTTATTGGTGTCCAAATTATATTTTTTATTTTCAGAACATATTTCTGTCTTTAAGATTGTATTTTCATATTTTTGTTTTCTTTGAATTCATAGCTTGTTGGAACAGCAGTAGCTGTTTTCATAAAATTTTGGGATGAAAATCTTGTGTTTCGTGGAAAACAAAATTCATCATCTGTTTGTCTGAACCATACTAAAGAAATGGTTTTGACATATCATCTCTATCGCAACATAAAATTTTAATGTTTCTGATCAAAATCAACAGTGTTGTCTACTACAACAAATGGTCCGACACATTGTGAGATGGAATAGCAACATAAAGTTTGAATGGATGAAAATTTGACATAGAAGATGTTCTGTTTGTTAAAATTCTGCAGATTCTTGAACACTGTCTGTTAATTTTTTTTTTTTAAATAATATGATGTGATTATAAGATAGTATGAAATATGGATGAAAGAAAACAATCGAGATCAACGACATCCAACATCTCGAGGCTAGATCAAATACATGGCAGCCTTCATTGCAAAGCATCACTGACGCCGAGGCTACAATCTGAGGATATTTTTCGTTTTTTTTTTGCCACATTAAATTGCTGCATAAGAGACATAAAAGAACCCCAGGCTTCTTTTTCAACATGTAAAAAATCCAATACATGCAGTTTCTCTCACTTTAGGATCCATATATAGGCTAGCAAAACCCAGAAAACCACACCTTTCTTTAGCCTGCAGATATGAGCTATGTGTATGACCCTCCAATTCTGGAGGTGATTTTCTGCCCTTACGGGGGCTTTTCCAGTGTTCAAAGGAGAGACAAGGGGGACTGTTATGGAGATGGCGAGATTGCGACGAAGGGGAAGAAAAGAGGTAAAAAGTGGAGTGGGAAATGAAATGAAAGACACTCAACCATTGAATTAAACTAATTATTTATAATAATTTTATCATATTTTGTATTTAAACTATATAATAATATCACCAGAAAATTAATATTTTTTGATGATTATAAAATTTAAATATGTGACACTTTAAATTAATGATAAAAAGTTTAGTTATTCAACTATAATGCGAAACTATTTTTATTATATCAAACTTAATACTTACTTTCATTATTAATTTGAAGAATAAATGTTCATTTAATTTAGAAATAATTTTTTTAATAATTACTTTTATGTATTTATAAAATTTATATTAAATTATTCTAAAAAGTTTATTTATTATATTATGAAAATATTTTAAAATATTTATTTTGTAAAATCATCTTATTTATTTATTTGAAATAATTTTATTTTTAAATTATCTATTTAATTTTAAATAATATTCTACGGAACCAAAGTAATATTTGGATAGTAAACATATATTTTACCCTAAATTTAAATTATTTAAAACTAAATAGGTAATTTAAAAATAATATTATTTCAAATTAATAATTAATTGAATTTTTAAAAATAAATAAATATTTTTATAACACTATAAATATACATTTTTATAATTATTTCATATATTTTTTTTATAAAAAGAATTAAAGTTTAAATACTAAAATTAAACAAAAATGATAATTTAGGTACAAAACGATAATTTATCCTTTTTAATATTTACTTTATAAGGATAATTTAGTTAGTAGTACATTTCAATACCTATGGTATGTCATAATATGCAACTTGCATCATAGAATTTTCCGTAAAAATGTCAAATGTATTAATATTGATGTTATCTACAGTCAATTTTTCAAAAAAAAAATATCAACAATTATAAGTCGAGCTTTTCACAATCGGAATAATAAAAAAAATCTATAATCGGAGGACTATTTTCTTATATTACTCTATTGTTTTTATATTATTAGGGGGAAAATGTGAGTTCACAAGTTTTATGGCACTAGCAGCCGTTCAGCTTTTTGACTCTATTTACTAAAAGAAAAGTGGGAGAAAACAAATGTCGGTTGACTATTAGTAGCAATGTCGAGGCTATTTTCCAATTTTCCTGGCTGATACAGATCGGCGAAGGCTAAACAAAGACAAACCATTCTTTTATTTATACTCTTGTATGTAGCACCTGTAGTTCCACTCTCAGCGGCTGCTCCTCGCCTTAAACACTTGCATTTCTAAAGTTTGCTCGGAAGTAGAAAATTACTTTGACTAGTACCAACTTGAGCAGAGAAAATAACTTTTGAGGTTTCACGGCCATATAGCGCCTGCCCTGATGAGCAATGGGACAAGCTGGTTCCTCACTTGGAGGGACATGACTTGGTTAGGACCCCCAATGAGCTGCTGCCCTATGAACACAACAGGTACACCGACCTTGCACCCCATCTGCTGCAGTGCTCTCTCAATCTGTCCCCCATTCTAAACTTCATCGAGCTCGTAAACCGTAGGGTTAGCCCCAAAGCCACTTATCAGAGTCTTGATGGTGTGGCTCATGCAACACATGGTCCGGCTAAAGATCACCACCGGCCTGTCGGCAACCATCCTTGTAATCACTTCCATTGTTATCTAGCAGGGAAGAGTAATGGAAATGGAAGCTCAAAGGACCTTATTGGGAGACTTCTGAAGTTTTAAACTGCTTAGCCCTGATGAGGAACCTAATCACCCTGGAGACCCCATTTATACTGTCCATACACAGGCGTAAAAAACAAATATTATATTCCAATTGATCACAACAGTATGCAAATACACAACATGTGGCAACAAATAGATTTAAAATGACTTCACTATCCTTAACATACGCAGCACTCAACAATACCCAACAAAAAATGCAATTAAAGTATAGGATGCAAATTTAGAACTTTCTTAAAAGTAAAAATATCTTGTTGATATTTGATACTCTACAAGATGCATTACATGGCATGCTAATTACTTACTTTTCTTAAAGTCATTCGACCTTCCTTGAGAAGATATTCAATGACCTATATGTGTCAAGAATGGGGTATTTTCCTATTTGGTTTCATCTCATCATCTCTGAATAGATTTTGGCATTATATATTAAGTTAGAATATACTCACATTTCGAAACCACATTTTTAAAGAATTTGCCATCATCTCTCACATTTTTCCCATTTACCAAATCAGATGCCAAAATAATAACGCATCAACAAGTTCAATCAAAACCAAGTTTCAAAGTATAGTTTAGAGCTTAAATTTGCTTGCTCCCTCAAAACACCGAATTGTAGTAAACATGCACATGGAAAGTAACATTCCACGGTACTATATTATACCTATCTGATCAAATTTGGGATGACAGAATTATAGTGCTCCCCAAGCCCAAATGCATGCTTATGGTATGACAACCTGAGAGTCCCCTCAGATGAAGACCCTCCATCAGATTTGTACTCCTTTCCCATCTCCACATCAGGAAAAGATCCCGAAAATATCATGATGTGTTTTCTCAGGCAGTGAGTTAAAGCTCCAAGCTCTAACTGCCCTCCCCATGCAGCAGTAGACTCCACCTCCTTACAGTAGTTCTCGAATCTCTCTGCTAGTGAATCATCAGAATCTCCATCTACCGTATTCTCTGACAGGAAAAAAGGAAGAAAATTGGATGTGTGCTTCCTCATATAATCAGCCACCATTTCCCGTAGCTCCTGATATGTATAAGGAGAAGAACCTCCAGACACAAGGGCCAGCTGATCTTCAACGGCTCGGTAGAGGCAGTGTCCATCCGGCTTTATTTCATTGATTGTGAATCCCAGGGGTTTGAGTTTTCTCTCCAATTTCTCATCTTCAATCATTCTATCACTCACAATGTTGCTCTGCTCTTCTTGAATCCGTTGTTCTCTAGCAGCCTCTTGCTGAGCTCTTTTCTCTCTTCTCTTGGCACCTTTGCTAGGCATTGGATGATCCTGCTGAGGAGTTACAGACACCCCAGCTACTGCCTTCACTAAATTTTCGATATTGCTTTTATCATCTCCATTACTGTAGCCTAGTGAAGAAAGCTCCTGAGCTTGTTTTTCCCTGAGCTTAGCAGAGAGCTGAGAGATCTCTTCCTCCACCTGCTTCTTTTTAGCTTTCTGTTCAGCCTTGCTACCCTTTGCTGCAGCCTTTTTCAGGCTAATTTCCTTGTTTTGTAGCTCCGATATCTCCTTTCTGCAGAATAGTAGAAAAAAGAAGTCCCATAAAGGGAAAATATATATTTAAGAATCAAATTTGTTAAATCAGGGGATACATTATTAATATTTACATATGAGCCTTATTTCATAATAGAACCTATCCTTATTAAACCATCAACATTGTGCTAGGAAAAAAGTGAGATTAATTAACAAGATTAAATGTGAAAGCAAGGAACACATCAGTTAACTAACCAAAACCATGAATAAAGCTTACAGGTATGTCAAGAATTGTATATTAAATATCACCGTATTACCTATGCCTAGAAAGCATTTCATCACGGGTTTCCTGCTTTTGAGATGTGCAGGGCAGACTTACTTCACAAGGTTTGTCATCTACACCTTGAACATCTGCCATCTGAGAACACCTAAAATCACGGTCAATGATAACACCTAAAATCACGGTCAATGATAACACAGAGGAAATGGTAATGTTGAACTTGGGACTACGTAAAGGACATCCAAAATATCTCACTTAAGTATGCAGTTAATATTCAACAAGCAAACCAAATCTATGCTAGTCTAAGCCACAAGGATGCAGCTAAACAGGAGAAATATCTATCTTTAAACTTGGCTTTCCGAATGAACATATGGTCAATTTTGCAAACAAAATAGATTATCCATGTATGGATGAGAACCGACACGTCGACCCAACATAAACTTTCTAGATGCTCTTTTAAACTAAAAATATAACTCTTTCATTAAACCAAGTTCAAAAACAATGCTTAGATATGTAACTTTTTTTTTTTTGGAACTCTAGATCCATGCATTTGCTAAAACAATTCCAATTCCTTAAACGCAGCTTCCAATGTGAGTTAAGTAATCAATTAAACAGCACCTTCAATTCAAATTCCCATCGGAAAACCAAGGAAAAACAAATAGAACTCACAATTACTCCTTTCAAAACATGAATTAAACTGAAATCAAAGAACAACTGATAAAAGAAATTCCACCTCGAATCTATACAAGTTGAAACAAATCCTAGCAACAATGGATGATCAGAAACTCAACAAGTGAACATTATATTAATAAATAGACAAAAGCGTGATTTAAAATTGGAGCTTAGTTCTACAAAAAGAAAAAGATAAGCAAAGCAACCATAACATGTAATTGAAATTCCTTGAATAATTATGTTTTGTATACTTCAAATTTTCTAGTATAAACTAACATTAAACGAAGTATAGTGATAAAGAGCAAACCTTTGGAAAGAAGCACGAAATTCTTTTAAGTTAGCTAGGGTTTACTCGCGTATAAATCTTGAAGGAAAACAAGAAAGATAAGAAAGCCCATATTTACCTACTTATGCAAACTTGGGTGGAAAAAAAAAGGAAGAAAATAAAATCGCTTATTGGGCTCATAGGGGCAATATATTGAGCTAAATGTCTAATAGCAAATTAATTGTTAGAGGGGAGAATTTGAATTTATAAAATTTTAGTGGGATGAAAATAAATTTTTAATAGAAAATATATAATAAAAATTTAAAATATATGGTAATTTTAGATTTTTATGGGTGATCTGCCGCCTAAGTTCATTCATAGATAAACTTAAATATTTAAAATTTTAAGGGTTAAACTTGAACTTATAAAATTTAGCGGAGTGTGAAAATATATTTTCAATAAAAAACACATAAAAAATTAAAATCTATGACAATTTTAAATTTTTAAGAGGGCAACTGCCCCACCGTCCCATCTCCCTCTGTACATCTATCTATATATATATATAATATATTAAGTCTTGCTCGTCAGTTTATCACCTTTAGATGACGTTTGATTCACGAAAAATATCATTATTATGAGAAAAAATCTTTTTCGAAATTATATACCTAGTTTGGTTTAAGAATACTCTCTCTTTGGAGTAAATGAATTATTCCCTACGGTAGCAATTTTTTAATCTTTTTTCTGGAATGTCATTCACTTCATTTTCTTGTGTACTAGACAATTCTCTCTCCTTAAGATAATAATACCCCTGAAATCATATATTTATTTCAAAATGGTCATTTCTTTTATAACTTTCTTCCATTTCCATGGCATACAAAAACACATCACGAAAATTGCATACTAATGAAATGATGTGGCATTTCACTTTCTGAGATTATCTCCTATCAAAAACAGACATAATTGCATAACCTTAATCAACCTCTGGATCAGATGGTGTTTAAAAACTGTCAATTGAAGAATAAAGTTTTTGTGGCCACGATGTTTATGACTGTACGTTATTCAGGTGATCGAAAATATCGTTCCGATCGAAAACTTGTCGGCTTACATAAAGTCAATCCCGTGTCATGAGCTGATTGTTGCAGAAGCGGCATTGAGCTTACGAATTCTCAGTGATATTGCAGATTTTCAGTGCTTTATATTCTTTTAATGGTGTTGACTACATTTTAAAGAGGAATCAAATGGTTGGTTCGTTTGCAAGTTTTGTTGATGATTTTATAATTTTTACCTATTGATGTGTGTATGGCCTTATCTGAGAGACAGAAAGATGATGCTGGAACTTTTTATTCCTCCCCATCCACAACTTAAAAGGCGAAAAAGGGTGTTTCTTTTATAATGCTTGGAAGTTCCTAGATGCATTGATACTCATCCACATGCACAAACATTTATGTGGTTATGGATATCCATGAACATATGATTTCTTAAATTACTCATGATTTTACAAATGCGTACCTTTCCTTCGCCCATGATCTCATGCATAAGATGGCAAGAAGATAGATAATCTGTCCCACTCTCGACGCCATTGCGTATGTGTGGTCATTCGCCATTCACAGGTTCACTCGCATGTGTTAAAGCACTACCAGAAAAGAGCAGCAGCAGCTGTATGCATGAGGTGAAGTGAGCATATCTGTGTGTTCACGTGTAGGAAGAATCATACAAGTTGGTGGGCGCAATAGGATGAGCTACAGCCTCATAATGTTCTATTATTGTAAACTGACAAGCTAAGACACTATTTGATCTTTATTTTAACCATCTTGTTTCAAAATTGTTGATCATATCAGATGGCTATAGGCTTTACACTTTACAGTCCTCACTTATGATATAATCTAGTCCATGGCCTATTAGAAGTAGAAGGCGCTCTGGTAAGCAGAAAATGATTGCGGTATGTTCGATAATGATCGAGTGCATTGGTTCTATAACTTCGATGGTTTTAGTATTTAGCAGAAAATCTGTTTTCCAACTTGTTGAAACCATGGAAACACAGTAGTCCCCATCTCATAAAGTAACTTTATTGTTATTAGCATCTAGGTAAAGGCATGTTCTTTTGAACGTTCTTCAAACTAAGGCATCTTCTACTATATGTTGTCCCTATAAATACTCTCTACCATGGGACTTGAGTTCTAGCAACCTCAAGCTTTGAACCCTTTTCCCACTTCACCTTCTCAACGCGAAGGTAGTTTCATTGTCTCGATCGACACTAAAGAACTTAGCACATATTAAGTCGACATTGTGGGTCCGGACTTTAACATGGACAAGGTGACGATATTGGCCTCAGAGAAAGGGGTAGTGCTATTCAGCAAGAGCTCATGTTGCCTGTGTTATGCAGTCACAGTTCTGTTTCAAGAGCTTGGGGTAACCCCAACAGTTTACGAGATCGACCAAGACCCTGAAGGAAGGGAAATTGAGAAAGAACTTATGAGGTTGGGGTGTACCGTGCCGGTTCCGGCCATCTTCATTGGTGGAAGGCTCATAGGCTCGATGAATGAAGTCATGTCCCTGCATCTAACTGGGGGACTAGTACCTTTGCTGAAGCCCTATCAAACTGTTAAATTAAGTAATTGACAATCAATAAAATTGGCTCAAATCAGCAGTCTCTAGTAAGGTGCATGTGCACTATAGAGATGGATTAGCTCTCCAGCAATAGAATGTAATCTGTTCCTATTTCTTTAATAAAGTTAAATGGCATATACTTTTCTTGATTTGAGCTTTGCTTTCAATATAATCCGAATGATTACTGTATGTTGTTCAGATGCTTCACTTTCTACATATTTTATTCATAGTTCAACACTATGAACACGTAACAAATACTCATAATATTAAATTGCAGTGATAACGCAGACAATAGTCGCATATCATAACGATTTTTAAAATCATCACGATGTAACGCCCACAACTACATACGCAACTGCAATTACAATGTTATACTATACAAATATTTTTAAGAAAATGAAGAGTAGGAGCATGCTCCACGTAGAAAAGAAATGGTTAAAAATGGAGGTCCCAAACTTTATACCTTGTTTGCTACCATCGGCTCTTCTTTTACTTTATCTTAGATGAAAGGTATTACATTCCTTGCTGTTGACAATGGCCATAAACATTGTTTTTATTATTGCAATATTCTATCAACCCAAAAGACAAAGTAAAATAAAATAATGCTTTGTGTAGATTCCTCCATTGTTAATATGGAGACAAGCATATAGATTCTATTGAAAGTAGGGCAAAAAACATAGTCAATGGATGGAAGGTGGAGTCCTACTATGGGAATCAAACAATATTAGCAACCCATCAACTTAGCTTTACAATAATCAATCTTGTCAGTCGTAATCATGCTCTATGACTGTTCAACTGCTTTTTATTCTTTTTTATCATTAATAACATACCATGGACCGCTTGACTACTCTTGACTACTCTTTACTATCATTATGTAGTTAAACGTCTAAATCGACTCCAGATTCTATATTAGAAATAAATTTATAAAAATTCAAGTTTGGAACTTCTTATAGTTAGTGGAGTATACAAGGAAAGACCTTTAAGCTTCATATAGTTGACAGAAAAGGCCATTGGTTTGCTAAATAATAACATTGCAAGTTTGGAATTTCTCCATTCATATAGTTAGAGGAACCGGAAATCTGAAATCTTAGGTTTTTTTATTGAGAAAATAACCTCAGTTACAAAAAATGTTTTATAATATACGATTTTAACCAACAAAATCGCAATGCGATCGCTAATTCGCAACGCGATCTCAGGGACCACGACCACTACCCGACCCGAGACGAGACGAGACGGACGGCGGCGGTGGTGCGCGAGAGTCACCCTTGTTCTCTTTCACTCAACAAGGAAGTGGGAAATCCAAGCCTTAAATACCCATTCCCAATAGTGTTTCCAATACTATGTGGGATTGAGCATTACCAACACTTGTTTCCAATGCTAAGTTGAAACATTTAACATTTAACATTTGGAAGTTGTAACACATTTAACCAAGTGAACATCCTACTCGGTGGCCAAGATATAGATGCATCCTTTTGGAACACATTCGTCTTGTGTTGATTATATTTCCACCCCACAATTTCAACAAATCTTATGTGATTCTCATGCACTAGTGGTATTACCTACAATGACAAACGTAATTATTGTTTTATATTTTAAGTAGCTAAGCACATAATCTATGTTAATGATTAAATGAGAAGGTTTAATCAATGCTTGATAAGGCAATGTACTTGGCGAAAGTTGGGTTAAGAGAAGTGTTAAATGTGTTCCAACTTCCAAATGTTAAATGTTAAATATTTCAACTTAGCATTGGAAACAAGTGTTGGTAATGCTCAATCCCACATAGTATTGGAAACACTATTGGGAATGGGTATTTAAGGCTTGGATTTCCCACTTCCTTGTTGAGTGAAAGAGAACAAGGGGGACTCTCGCGCACCGCCGCCGCCGTCTGTCTCGTCTCGGGTCGGGTCGTGGTCGTGGTAATACGTGTCTTCGACTATCGCAACGAATTTGGAAAATCGCAACGAATTTGGAAAATCGCAACGCGAACTTCGACTATCGCAACGCGAACTTGGACTATCGCAATGCGAATATGTAAATCGCAATGCGATAGTCGAAGTTCGCGTTGCGAATCTGGAAACTGATTTGCGATACCTGAGATCGCGTTACGAATTAGCGATCGCATTGCGATTTTGTTGGTCAATTTGGCAAATCCAAAAAAAATTGGTTAAAATCGTATATTATAAAACATTTTTTGTCCCTGAGGTTATTTTCTCTTTTATATTACCTTTCTTTTCGGATTTTTCCCTGTTTGTTGGTTAATTAGGTATTTAATAGTAATTTTGTTGTTTGCTTTTAAATTTCTTCTCCAGTCAGAATGAAATATCGAGACCTTAAACAACGTTATTATTAATTATGGTTATTTCTGGTCTCTTTATACATCTGGTTCTTGAATTTGAGCTCTACATCTTGTTTAAGGAACTCTGGTTGAGAGCTAGTAACAAGGAACCTTACCCGTTACCAGTCAGATCATATGAAGTGCTCACTCTCTTGGCGAGGTTCTCAGGCGGTTGATTTGCATGCACTCTTGCCAAACAAATTTCTTGAGGATTTAAGGTTGGTTTGATGTAATGCAATTCTCATTGGAGTTCGTCTTTATCTAGTATGGAGAACAGTAGTAAAAGATTATAATAAGTTGAATAATGATAAGTTTATACTGTCAAATTTTTGGTCTAATTACAATTTAAACAAATCACTGTAAGTTTAAATATTAGACAAATTAGAAGTTGTCCTTTGAGTTTTGAGTTTTTTTTTTTAATTTAGGGGGAATACAATGTAATATCTGTACAAAGACTTTCAACTATTTGACAATGAACGCTCATACCCCTATATACGTGCTTGAACTCGAGACTTCAAGGATAACAACAATCCCTTAATCACTAAGGTTGTTTGGTTCATGTTAAATTTCGAGTTTAAATACCTAATAAATTTTTATAATTTTTTCAAATAACCTAATATTTCGAGTTCTGTCAATATTTAATTTTATCTTCGTCATGTGTACATGAGGTACGTTGTTAGTACGATTACTCGAGTTACATTGTTTCCATCCTCTTATCTGGAATGAACATGACTCTTAAATATACGAATGTATGTTTTTCTATGTTTTATATACATACACACTCATGACTCGGTATCCATATAAATACTTTCGATCTTTCATATTAAATAATCTTGTTCTCATCCTTGTATTAATATATATTTAAAAATTTCAAATTAGATATTAATGAAATGAAACAGGAGGAGAGTCATATATTACTAAAAATTGCCTTCCATAATAATATGTTGGACCTGGACCGTCTATCGAGTATGAGTCATACGAGCGGTAAATGGTTTACTGTACCAACGAAGGTTGACCTGAATAGAAAAGATTCTGATCGCTTAAACAAGTCGTCTTTGTTTGAACCTTATGGATGCAGTAAATTTTCTTGAGAAAGATCTCTACCTTATTGTCCGACAGTATTTCGGAGGATTAATCCTAACGAAACCTGAGGATATCTCGGGATACAAAAAAAAATGGTTTACTGTACTATTGATTATCAAACTTTCCAGCAATGTCCTGTCATCAATAGTGATAGCTTCCAGATACAACAACTAATAAGTAAAAAAAATATTTATTATTATTAAAATTTTATTTTCTTAATTATAAATTAAATTTTAATTTCTGTTTTAATTAACAAAAATAGGGTAAACGATATTGTTTTAGTTCCCAAAAATATTTAAAATAACGTTGTTTTGTAAGAGTAGATTTATTAAAATATTTCATTTGGGAGGATTTGAATTCTATTCTTTCAAGATAAAAAAATTAGAGCTTAATCATGGATCAATTTAAAATGTTAATATATTCAAACAAAAGATACATATGTTAACACTTACGATTATTTTATTTATGTTCCAAAACTAAAATATTATTCATAATATAAATAATATTAATATATGCAAAAATATTTTATTGCATTAATAAAATAGTGATATGTGTCCTTATTTTATTGATTAAATAAAATCATTAAAAATATTAGTAGTTGCTGACATAAAAATAAAAATTTATGCATTAATATGATTATTAATTTTTAACTATAGATAATTAAAAAATATTTTTTTAAAAAATATTTTTTTATCCTTCTAATTGTAATGTTTCACTTTGACTAATCTAAACAGATTAAAATCATACACCTGATTTTTGTACATTAATCTCCTTATAATAATTTTTTATATACATAAAAACTTCAACTCATTATATTTAAACAATTTCAAACTGCTATTGATATTAACTCCAATTTTCTATGTTTCATTTGGCAAAGTGAACCAATTTTGAAGCAAAATAAAGAGGAAAGAAAGAAGACACCAACGAATGCATTAAGACAAATATTAAAAGATAAGATTACTCTATGCTTCTTTTGTCTCTCGTTCGTGATTAAGATTCTCTGGCTGTCTCTCGTTTCTTGGTTTCCGTATCAATGGTATCCCATTCTTTTGCTTTCTAAACGAAGTTTTCGAATACTTAAACCCCAACACAAGATGAGTGATGAGAGGAACAAGCAAATACGGAGGAGACTCTGTGATTACTGTGATCTTTCCACAGCTCTTTTATACTGCAGAGCTGACTCCGCCAAGCTCTGTTTCTCATGCGACAGGGAAGTTCACTCTGCTAACCAACTATTTACCAAGCACTGTCGCTCACAGCTCTGTGACGCCTGCCACCACTCACCTGCTTCCGTCTTCTGCGAAACTGAGCAGTTTGTTTTCTGCTCTAATTGTGATTGGGAAAACCACAAGTTACCCTCCTCTTCCTTGCATAATAGGAGGCCTATAGAAGTCTTCACCGGGTGCCCTTCCGTGAGTGAGCTGCTGAGCTTTATTGGATTGAGGAGTTGGATGATAAACCTATCTTTCGAGTGAAGGCAAACTTGGCTGTGGAGATGGTGCTGAAGATTGTGATGGGTTGCTGGATTTGTCTAATTGGGAATCTCCTGTGATTTCTGGCTTTGATGGGTTGATTCTTCCCAGTGATTTTGATCATGGGTTTAAGCCTACGGATGTCCCTCCTCTACCAAAGGTTTAGTATTCTTATGTGTCTATGCTAGTGAAGAGTTAACAGTTGTTTATATGTTCACTGAAATTTGGAATTTTGGGATTCTTATCA